AAAAAAAAAAAATAAAAAAAAAAAATAATAATAATAAACAAATCTTGTCATTTGTAACAAAATGGATGAAACTGGAAAACATTATACTTAGTGAAATAAGCCAGCCCCAAAAGGACAAATACCATATGTTCTCCCTGATAACTGGTAACTAATAGAGCACCTAAAAAGTAATTGATAGACTTGAAATTGACACTTTGAGATATAATGACTTTGAATAGCCCTTGTTGCAACTGTTGAGGAACAGTTTTTTTTTTTTCACACTATTTGTTGAACTCTTTACTTAACACAGAGTTAATCTTAATCTTATGTGTATAAAGTTAATTGAAAATAGATCTTAGTGAATAGGAATAAGGAGATGGAGGATGAAGAGGGTCAGGAGTGTAGGTGGGAGGGCAGGTATGTTGGGAAGAATCACTACATTCCTAAGGGTGTATTTATGAAATGCATGAAGTTTGTATACCTTAAAAAAAAGGTTACTGGGAAAAAAAATAAAGAATGTGTGTGAAAAAAATAAAGTGGCAGCTGAATTATATTTTATTTAATTATGTTTCGTTACAATCAAGAAAGAACAAATACAGTTATAATCAACTAGTGCTGTAATGAAAAGGACACATAAAAACAGGACTAAATTTAAGATTCTAAATAATTTTAAATTTCAAAGAAGTTTGATTTAATGAATAGTAAACAGAGAGCCAGAAATCCTTCACATTCTAATGACAACTTTCCTATGGACTACAGACATGTCTGCATTTCCCCATCTCAGATGAACGGTGAAATGTAATGAGTGAGACTACCAACCTGAAAAAGGTTTATGGAAGACCTTATGAAAAGGTTTTCAATCCCCTCTCTTTAGAAACTTTTGGTGAAATGCAAGCAATTTGCACAATGTATAAGTAAAGAAAGAGAATACACTTTTTAAAGAAAGACAATAATAATCTTTGGTATAGAAATAATAAAATGCTAACTCCAGAACTACCAGAGAATGAACTATAGTCTGCATGTTCTGATATAATTTTTATACACATTACTTATTTTTTAGTAAACAAGGGGTGGCTTTCTTAATAGTCTGTCATATTCTTGAAATTAATGTCTTTAAAGAAATTAATAGATCTTTGCTCCATGCATTGTTAATTGTGTCTACAAATATGATACTTCAATTTTTACTGAAATCATCTTAGTCAACCCTAAAGCTAGATGATGAGTGACAAAAAGACAAATGTGAGGCAACAGAATTTTACCTAGACAAGTTCCACTGCTCAGCCAGAATCGTACTCCCAAGTTGTTTAGTGTTTTGGCTGCTAGCTGCAATAATTCTTTTGCATTCTTCCTAAAGGCCATAGCTTCCACAGTGTTCTCATCAAGGTACTGCTACAGATTAAAAAAAAAAAAAAAAAAAAAAAAAAGGTCAGCTATTATAGCCATGTCTAAGTTGCTAAAAACATTTCTGACATCTGAATTAAATCTGAAAATTATCCCCACATTCTATCTCTTTCCTAGTATAAAAATCAATAACTTAATCACACATTAAAATAAGAATATAGGAGTAGATGCTGGGAGAGCTAAGTCAAAAGCATGAAATGTATGCATTTATTAGCTTCCTCCTTCACTTCACAATTTAGCAAGTCCGACAGGCAGGGGAAAAGAGGCTAATTATGGGAGCTGAAGCATAGCTGAAGCAAAACTAATTCAATGTTGTCTTCATCATTCACTGATGCTATTGGTCTCCAGAGACCGTGGTACAGCTGAAAGAACCTAGAACTCTTGATTTGCATACCTACATTCAAACTAGCTCAATTTTCCTTTAGTTGTGAACCTGGGCAGGCATATTAGAAGACTATAAGCTCTATGAGGAAAGTGACTTCATTTTATTTATCATTATATCACCAGTAACCAGAATAGTGCATAAATATTTTTGAATGAATGAGAGAAGGAAAGAATAAGCAAACCTCTTTTAGATCTAATTTCCTTCTCTAATTTAGGGATAGTAATTATACTCTGTAGGACTGCTGTGAAGATGTAAGGAGAAAACGCCTTGTGGATTATGACATTTTATACAAATATTATCATTTATTTAGTCTTTAGTTTTCTGATTTTTTTCATTATTAGAGTGTTCTAGAACTGATGAAAGCACCACAAATTCTTTTTTTTTTTTTAAGAATTATTTTAATTATTTGAAAGGCAGAGTTACAGAGAGGTACAACCAGAGAGAGAGAGGTCTTCCATTCCGCTGATTCACTCCCCAAATGACTGCAACAGCCAGAGCTGAGCCGATCCGGGAATCTGAGACCTTCCAGGTCTCCCAAGGACTTGGGCCATCTTCTACTGCTTTCCCAGGACACAGCAGAGAGCTGGCTTGGAAGAGGAGCAGCCAGGACTTGAACTGGCACCCATATGGGATGATGGCACTGCAGGCTGGAGCTTTAACCCACTGTACCACAGCACCGGTCCTGAAAGCTCTACAAATTCTACAGTGATATTTCACTACCTAATGACAAAATCTACTTGGCCTTTGGAGCATCAGTAAGAAGGCAAAGCACATTGTGTTCTGGTCCCTGATTATGGGTCCAGCCTCGTCCCTGTATTTCCCCACACTTGCTATCAGAATAATAAAACATTAACTCCTTAAATATACCACAACTTTTCAAGCCTCTGCATTTTCATAATTGTTGTTTCCTTTGTCTGCCCTGTCCTTGACTACAGAATCTCAAGTCTCTAATCTGGCCTCTGAGAAACAATCTCTGATTTTCTCAGGAATACATGTGCATTTATTTTCCCACTGTTTCTATTCAGTTTAACATTTACAGAGCAGAGAATTATGTCTGGTACTAGAAATACAAAGACAAATGAAATGTTTTCTCAATGAGCTATAGCAGTAACTGCTTATACATATATTTACTGTAAATTATTTTTTAAAGATTTATTTTATTTATTTGAAAGGCAGGGCCACAAACAAAGAGAGAAGACAGGGAGAGACAGAGAGATCCTCCATCCATTGGCTCATTCTCCAAATGGCCATAACAGCCAGGGCTGGACCAGGCCAAAACAAAGAGTCAGCAGCCTGCTCTGGGTCCCCTACGTGGTGGCAAGGCCCCAAGTATCTGGACCATCTTCCAATGCATCAGCAGGGAGCTGGACTAAAAGATGAGCAGCCAGGACCTGAACTGGTACCCACATGGGATGCCAGCATTGTAGGCGGTGGCTCAACCTGCCACACCACAACGCCTGCCCCTGTAATTCTTATATTTAATTCTAATTATTGATTTTATTTACATTATCTTCACTGGACTGTACAGATGGTTCCTTAAGGGCAGGTACAACATTTATCCATCACTGTAGCTACAAATGTAGAATGGTGCCTAGCATATAACATGTGAACATTACCTATGGATGAATGGGTAAATGAATAAGTAATTAAGTCTCTGCTCTGCCTATAATATCCTAACATCCTGTGATTTTTTTGGTATAATACAGCAGGAGAGAATATGATTCCTAGAAGGTTTATAGGGATATAAGGCAAAATGTGCTCCTAGGAAGAAATTGAATTTCCTGCAGAAAAGTACCAACTGTAGAATATACACATTATACTCATATAGAATCCTTTCAATAAGAAAAATCCCTTTCCTCTGGGTTGTAACTTTTAGAACATATGATTGGAATGAAAGATGCATGTTCTTAATCCTTGCAGTAGTGGAAAAAGCTTGGAGCTAGGAGTTTAGAGGCCTAGGAATTAGTCTATTCTCAGCCAATAATGACTATGTAGTAACAACATCTTAAAGCACTTTCTAATCTGTTAAAGGAGAACACTTACCATATTGCACAGACTAAAAGGAACAAATTAAACAGCAGACATGAAAACTTTGTGCAAAATCATCAGTTGTTCAGGGCCAGCACTGTGGCATAGCAGGTTAAGCTGCTGCCTGAGTCGCTGGCATCCCATATGGGTGCCAGTTAAGAGTCTCAGCTGCTTCACTTCCAACCCAGTTCCTTGCTAATGCACCTGGGAAGGCAGCGGAAGATGGCTCAAGTCCTTAGGTCCCTGCACCCACATGGAAGACCCAGAAAAAGCTCCTAGCTTCAGATAGGCCCAGCTCCAACCATTGCAGCCAACTGAGGAGTGACCCACTGGAAGGAAGATTTCTCTGTCTGTCTCTCTTTCTCTCTCTGTAACACTGGCTTTCAAATAAATAAATAAATAAATAAATAAATAAATAAATCTTAGCAGAAAAAAAATAGGTTTGTGAGTTATATCCTACTGGGCCTATATCCTATATGCTCATATGAGCACTCCCACCCTTAATAAATCTTTCTTTTTTTTTTTTAAGATTTACTTATTTATTTGAAAGTCAGAGTTACACAGAGAGAGGAGAGGCAGAGAGAGAGAGAGAGAGGGAAGGAGGGAAGGAGAGAAAGAGAGAGAGAGAGAGAAAGAGAGAAAGAGAGAGAGAGAGAGAGATTTTCCATCCACTGGTTCACTCCCCAGATGGCCTCAATGGCTGGAGCTGTGCCAACCTGAAGCCAGGAGCCAGGAGCTTCTTCTGGGTCTCCCACATGGGTACAGGGGCCCAAGGACTTGGACCATCTTCTATTGCTTTCCCAGGCCACAGCAGAGAGCTGGATCAGAAGTGGAGCAGCTGTGACTCAAAGCAGCACCCATATGGGATGCCGGCACTGGAGACAGTGGCTTTACCCACTACACCACAGTGCCGGCTCCAATAAACCTTTCTTAACAAGACACTCTCAGAAATTCCATTTCTTTGAACTAATTCTTAATATGTGTTAAAGTATACACATGAATACAATTATGTATATAAGTATCTATTATGGGACTTAAAAATTAGAGTTTATACATTGTTTTGTTCATTTAAAAATACATATAAATCTTGGAATTACCATGTCTCCAAAAAAAGACAAAACGTAATGTCCTGTTTTTAAAATCACATCCATTTAATTTTTAACCCAAGAAAAATCCTTGAATATAAATGCACAAACTTTCCCTTAAAATATCAAAGACCAATAAGATGACAGAAGTTACCCACTTTTTATAAACAGGGAAACCCACAGTCTCAAACAAATTAGTCAAAGGAGGACAAGAATGTGGCTGCACAGATATTCCCAGGCCAAATGTACACAGATTTCTGTGTTCCCTTCTGTTTTTTCACTGAATTCAATAGGCTTGAGCTCATTACTTGTTTTGTAATGTTTTTTGCCCCAACAAGATCAAGTTCAGGAAATACGTACTATCTTAGTTTTAAGTTTCCTGGCAGATTGAGAAAATAATTAAAAGTAAAGAAAGGCAAACATTTCCCTTTCTCCCCTATTCCCCTTCCCCTCCTAAAATAAAAGGTGGGGCAAAGCAACTAAGTTTTTTGTGCCCAAGAGTGGCCTGGTACAGGCTGTCGGAGCCTGGGCTGGTGATGAGTGCATCCACATAGAGTGAAAGTCTAGTGTGGGAAGTGACAGCCCACTTAGGTGAGGACAGCATTCCTATGGAAGAGCAAACAAATGAGGGAGGTCAGGGCCTGAGCATGCGTGCAGTCCAGTAAGGGACAGCAGTGCCCAGGTAGGGTAAGAAGAGCAGCCACAAAGGCAAGGAAGCACATGTTGGGTGTTAAACAAATAAACTAACATATTACAGACAATGGGAGTCAAGTTTCTTATTGTTTGAGAAAGTAGTCACAAATTTGGAAATGAAACCTTATATTGTGTAATTGGTACTTACAGCTTAATTGAACTGGAGAATTAATGTGAATGTACAAATTCTAAAAGATAGAGAAGTAAATATACTCAAGTCATGCACATCATACCCAGGTCCACTAGGAAGACCTAAGTGCACCAAAACCCCAAACAGCAATGGGTAAATTTGGCGTGTAGATTTTGGCTTCTGAAAGGAATTAGGACTCAGAGAAATGGCTGATCCTAGAGCTGGGACAGGTAAATTACAAGGAAACCCAAAATGTTTTGTACCAAGAAGCAGTAAAGTGCTCCAAAATGACGGAGACATGTCAAAAAGGTCCAGAAGCCATTGTGAAGGGATTTCCACTGGCCAAATAAGGAACCATCTGAAGATCACAATAAATAATGAGAATAATGAACTAAAATACAATAGATAAAAATAAGAAGTTATGAATTTATACTAATTTAAAGAAAAAGGAGTTTGATGAGGGAAACAACATTTACAGAGATACAGAGTAACTTCATTCCAAATAATAGTAACAGGATAAACAGAAGTTTCATCAGAGTACAGTCAGCAGTCAGCACTTTAATCAAGTTAATGACGTAAACATCAGCAGTTATAGGACAAATCAAAATCAGACAGTACTTGGGGAGAAATACTGAAAAGAGCAAAGGATCACTTCTGAGATTCCTTCCAAAGACATATGCCCCAAATTCTACATGAGACAACCCAAATGAGGGACATTTGGCAAAAATGTCTACCCTGCAATCTTCAAAAAGTACCAAAGTCATGTAAGTCACAAAATGACTGAGAAATTGTCCCAACCTGAAGAGGACTAAAGAGGAAAATTAATACAACAAGTGATTCCTTTTATTATAAAGGTTATTACTGGGATGTTCAGCAAAAATTTAATGGGAATTAAATGGTAATAATCTATGTGTTAATTTCCTAGTATTTTGTGTCAGGACATGGTAGGAGAATATTCTTATTTTTAGAAAATACTGCATGATTCAAGGCTGTAGGGCATTTGGTTGACAGCTTACTCCCAAGTAGGTCAGAAAAAAAATATTTATATTTTACTTGCAACATTTATCCAATTTTGAAATTATATTAAAATTATTACCAAGAAAGAAAATTAGGTGGCTGCTTTATAAAAATATCTATTAGATTAGTTTTATTTCTTATTTTACAATCAGCATTGTATTTAAGACTGTTTGGCGCCACCCAGTGTTCAAACATATGTATGGTCACTTTAATTTGAAAACTTAAACAAGGCTCTAACATAGGAAATAACAAAGAAAGAAAGATTTTAAAGAGGATAAGGATAAAAAAATTTATCAGTCTCATTAGGAACTTTACATCAGTAATGCCAAGATGCTAGCAGGAGAGAAAAACAAATTAAGAATCATTATCTGCCTGGTACAAGCAAAAGATGCAGGAAAACAAATATGAGGCTCCACTTGGTCCTGGTTTATGAGTGTAAGCCATTAGCCAACATGAAGGTCTTGCTATATGATGGTACATTAAACACTGAAACTATGGGGCTCCACCCAGCTGCTAAGCCCTCTGAGTGCATGTCATCCATATTCTTCATGCACATGTTGGTTCAGTGTTTGCCCTCGACAAAATGTAGAGCTCAAAATTTTGACATTAACTAAATGATTTCTCAGTATTTTGAAACATTAGCCCTAGTAAGTATCATTAAAAAAAAAACCATTCAATTCAGATGAACACCTTATTCTCCAGGCGTTTTCTCACATTTATAGGATCTTTTCTTTGTGCCAAATAACATGGTTGACACTGGGGCTACAGAGGTGAATTACATCAGATCTCTCCCAGTAAGAAGCCCACGCAATTTTAGTAGAGGGACAAATCAAACATTCACAATTCACTGGGATAACTGCTGTGACAGAGGTGGTAACCATGGCAAACTCCCTTATGGCATGTAAGCACCAAACTCCATCTGTTACACTTCCTGTTACTGTGTGGTGAGGTACGTCAGGCAACACCTGCCTACTAGAACAGGTCCATCCACAATGTGGTTTCCCAGCTTTTCATTCATGAGTCTGGGTAGGCAAATTTCTCAGCTCCCTAGTGATAAATTCAGGGGAACAGGGCTGAGAAAAAGCCTACTTGGGCTGTCAGGCCAAGGTCCTAGGAGCTAGCACAACACACCAGAGAAAGCTTGCCATTGTGAGTCTTGGGCATTGCAGTTTCATTCCCATCCTTGTGTATGCAGTTTTCTTGGCAGGGAACCCCAGAACGGAAAGGTCAAGTGGATTAAGGTACCAAACCCCACTGCAAATTTGCTTGCTTTTCACTGTATTTCTGTTTCACATCATCTCTCCAAGGTGAACTTTCATACCCTTTAAAATCATCTTTATATCCCCAGGGTCAGAAGCCTAGGAAACAGGCTTTCAATAAATGTTTTTTGAATTGAAAGCTACAGCAATAGAATAAAGCAAAGTTCAAAACATACTTGGTCTTTGTGTAGCATTTATCTTCAAAACCTTCATAAACACAAAAAATACAAAATCAGTGCCAAGCCTTCGAGAAAAACTATTTTCAATAAAGTCTTTTCTAAATCTATACAGTCCATCTTGAACAGAGGCTTCATTCTATTTGGACTACTTCAAAAAAGGCTACATTACCTTTTTAAAAGTTTATGGACTATCTTAACTCAAGGTAAAGGCTAGTGCTAACCTATCAGTTTTTCCAAATAATAAATTAAATTTATTCATTTAGGGAAGAAATAGTTGAAGATTAATTCCTAATCTACTTTTTCAAAAATTCAAAAACAAGATAGAAGAAAACAGATTAAGTGAAAAGGATGTTTTCTTCTCTTTTTTCCGTAAGTCCCTTCATTTCTCCAACAAACCACTAAAAATAAACACATTTCCTTTTATTTAAAAGTGCACTAGTTGAGTATCTCTAACCTGAAAGAATGCTCGAGCTTCTTTATACCGACACTCAATGAACCTAGAGTGTGGTATTTCTTCTAAAAAGTGTACTGGATCTTTTGGAATGAGAACTTCTAGTCCATCAACAGTAACCTGCTGTAATTCTGGTCTGGAAAAAAAAAAAGGTTAAGATTTATAACCAGAACAACTGGAAACCTCTTCAAAATATCAAACATTAGCAAAATAGCTAAATATGAAGCAGATTTTCTTCAATTACCTCAGATATCAATTAGCAGCTTCAGTAAGACCTGGAAAATCCGGTATCAAACACCAACTGTGTCTTACATATTTTAATTAATGTATTTTAAATGTTTTTAAAGATTTCTTTGAGAGACACACAGAGAGACAGTGCTCCCATTAACTGGTTCATTCCCCAAACGCAATGGCTGAAGCTGGGCTGGAGGCTGAAACTGGGAGCTGAAAACTCAATCCAGGTCTCCCACACAGTTATCAAGAATCCAGTCACTTGAGCCATCACTACTGCCTCCCAGGGTCTGCTTTCATAGGAAACTAGAGTCAGGAGCCAGAGCTTCGGATCAAACCCAGGCACTCAGATGCAGAATGCAGGTGTCTTAAATGCAAGCTAAACACCCACTCCCAAAACATTTTTATATCTGGTCTTATACACTTTGGCATTTTAAAAGAAAAAAAAATGAAGTGATATAATTTATAACTATTAACTTGCTTTTAGAGAAATAAATGTTTTTAACACTTAAGACAATGTGAGTGCTGGCGCCACGGCTCACGGGGTTCTAGTCCCAGTCGGGGCACCAGATTCTGTCCCGGTTGCCCCTCTTCCAGGCCAGCTCTCTGCTGTGCCAGGGAGTGCAGTGGAGGATGGTCCAAGTCCTTGGGCCCTGCACCCCAGGAAGACCTTTCTCTCTGTCTCTCTCTCACACTGTCCACTCTGCCTATCAAAAAATAAATAAATAAATAAAAATAAATGTAAAAATTTAAAAAAAGCAAATGGTAACTCAATAAAAAAAAAAAAGACAATGTGAGTAAATTATAATAGCCTGAGAGTCTCACTAATGAAAAAAATATTAATCTGGTAATCAGTCTTAGATATTTTGGGTCCCCTATTCTACAAATATTCTTTGAGAGTTTTATATAAAATTGTAAAATGTAGAGATGGCATTTATCTACTAGCATATTTAAATTTAATAAGTATTTGCTGATGACAATTTTGAACTTTACTGAATTATTAAACTTTGAAATAAATTTACAAGGCTTTAAAAAACTGAAAGATATTTTAAGAACCTTGTTTGAAATATGGAGTAAGAAAAATATGCATAAATGTATGAAGAGAATAATGTTTAATTTCAGACTAAAATAAGAGGTGCATAAATGAACAACAAAGTATTTTTCTCTACACCTTATTCTTTTTTAAGGTCACTTTATTTCTAAAACCTGATTTGGTTCAGAAAAGGTATCATTTCACATACATTAAAAAAAACACACACACAGAAGTCTCCAACATCTTACTCAGCTGCTTTTCAAATACGTGATTTAAAAAGGCTATCCTTACGTTCACATTTCCTTTACAGAAAAGAGAAAAGAGTAAAATGAGCATCCCAACAAAGAAATACACATACTGTCACACTTCTCAAGTTCAGCAGATAAGGACTGCTTCTCTATAAGAGTCCAATATACAGATTTGAATACGAAAATTTTTTCTAGTAAACTTTAAAGGAAAAGAAAAATGTTTACTGCTATCTCCACATCAGATTCTGGTATTTAAAGCACTATGTAACATCACTATTAGTGACTTCTAAAGGTGAAGAAAGTATAAATCTAACTTAAGAAGGTCATACTCAGTGTCTAACTTCAAGAATTCTTTCTTCATCCTCCAACTGGTAGTATCATAAGCTATCACTAATCAAATTTTATTTGAGAACTTCAAATAACTATTTATTATAAGACATATTTTTATTATTGTGAAAGCTAAGGATATATTTTTATATACAGTTTTCAAAAAACAGGAAGGAAAATATATATAACAAAAAGACACAGAATAATGAAGTTTTCACAGTTCTTTGTCCTACCTAATCACACTTCCTCCATTACCCCTACAGATAAACTCTATCCTGTCTTTTCTGGTACCTCTCCCTGCTTTTAATACTTTTACTATATAAATATCAATATACATCCATGAACATAATGTAGTCTGTGCTTTAACTTTTAATCAATGTATTTATAGTATCTGCATTATTTTGCCTTATTCAGTATTCATCATGCTATTGCACAAAGCTCTAGTTCATTCATTTCTCTGTTGTATGTAAATATATATATATATATGTATGTATGTGTAGATGACAGAGCTTCAAAAAGTTCATGGAAAACAGAATTAGAAGACAACAAACCTTTTCCATGAACTTTTTTTTTAAGATTTTATTTATTTATTTGAGAGGTAGAGTTACAGCGAGATGGAGAGACAGAGAGAAAGTTCTTCCATCCACTGGTGGTTCATTCCCCAAATGGCTACCACGGCCAGAGCCGTGCCGATCTGAAGCCAAGAGCCAGGTCCTTCTTCCTGGTCTCCCATGTGGCTGCAGCAGCCCAAGCACTTGGGCCATCCTCCAACGCTCTCTGAGGCCACAGCAGAGAGCTGGATTGGAAGAGGAGCAGCAGAGAGTAGAACCAGCACCCATATGGGATGCCAGCGCCACAGGCAGAGTTAAGATTAATCTATTGCACCCCGGTGCCGGCCCCTCCATGAACTTTTCTGAAGTCCCCTATTGTGTGTGTATAAATTTACTTATCCTTTTATTGTTGAAGGACATTTGAGCTCCTTCTAATTTGGGAACAGTAAAAACAATGTTATTGGAGTGGGCATCTGACCTAGAAGTTGAGATGCTGGTTAAGATGCTCGGCTCCCCTCCTGAGTCCAGCTTGCTGCTAATACTAATGCTGTGGTGATGGCTCAAGTGCTTGGGTTCCTGCCACCCATGTCAAAGTGGTGGACTGAGTTCCTGGCTTCTGGCTTTGCACTCCTCCACTCTCTGTTCTTGGACACTGTAGGCATTTAGGAAATAAACAGACAGATGGGAACTGGGGAGTAAACCAGCAGATGGGAGTGCTCTCTCTTTAGAAAAAAAGTTACCAAGAACATTTATGTGAATTACATATTATATTGTATTTTAATTAAAAAAGTAAATTAATTCATGACTGGACAACACTGATTTAATATTTCCCTTTTGATTCATAACTTACCTGTCAAAAGCTCCAGGATAACGACCAAACTGTAACCTTCGAAAAGGAACAAATTTCCTGTCAATGTGTCCTTTGAGTCGTAGGTGGCCATGCCAGAGGTAGTTACCACTTCTCTCATGAAAGACCACCAAATGGATGGCATGAGTGGCCAATTTGCAGATATAGTGCAGGGGGATTTCAGTTCCAGAAAGTGAGTCTATCCCATCAAGTCTAGGATCTTTGCTCTCAATCTTTAGACACTGAAATCCCATATTCTCAGCTATCTGAAACCAGCCTTCCTAAAACCAAAGAGAAATCAAAATTGAATATTTAAAACCAAATACTAGTAGCAAGACTAAAGTGATTCCAACACTGGATTAAGCCATATTCTTGGGACAATCTCTGTTTTGACAGGAGACTTTTAAAAGCGGTAAGTGGAAGGTAGTATTGAGAGAATAAAAGAACCCAGCAAAAAGAGGAACTATGCAGCAACAGAAGATACGTCCAAAGAGTCTCTTTATGGAAATTAATACAAAATGCTTCCCTGGAACAGGAATGCTAGTTTTAGTGTTCTCTGGTTAGTTTCTATAAAATAACCTTAATATAAGGATAGTACTTAACAGTACTTAAGAATTCTTAATTTAACTTCTAATCTTACTTTCAAAAGTATTTTTAAAAAATAGTTCTTTTGAGGCCAGCACTGTGGTGTAGGGTTATAAGGCCCCTGCCTGCAGTGCTGGCATCCCATGGGTGCCGGTCCATATCCCAGTTGCTCCACTTCCAAGGGAGAGAGAGAGAGAGAGAAGGCAGTTACATTGACACGTGGGACAGCTGCATCCCACAGAGTGCCTGGCTTGAGTACTGGTTCCTCTACTTGCACTCCAGTTTCCTACAAATGGGCACCCTGGGAGGCAGAAGGTGATGACTCAAGCACTTGGCCGCCCATATAGGATTCCTGGATTGAGTTCCAAGCTTCAAGCTGGGAACTGTTCTAGCCATGGCTGTTTCAGGTAGTTATCTGGGGGAGTGAACAAGCAAAGTGAGGCTTTCTCTACCTTTAATAGGAAAATAAAAATAATTTAAAAATTAAATCTGCTGAATAAAAGATAAATGTATACTTACGAAGTATGAACAGAATGCTAGAACAACAAAGTACAAAGAGCTTTTAAAAAAGAAAAATATGATAATTTCAGAAAAATGACAAAATAAATTACTACTGTTAAAGATATTGTTGGTACACAGTTGGAGAAAGATGGAAAATCAGAACAAAGATAAGAAAATAAGACAATTCTCAAAGTCCATCATCCAAATAACAAAAGTTCATAAAGAAATAACTTTTTTTTCTCAATATTGTTGCTAGGGATTTTACCTAAATCAGTAAATCAAGAAAAGGAAAGTAGCTGTAAGAGTTTGAAAGCAAGAGACCAAACTGTCTTTTCTGTGCAAACAATACAATGGTCTACATTCAGAAAAAGAAATAAAGAGAATAAACTATTAGAGTGTACCTGTATAGTTCAGTAGCTGGAAAACAACATCTAAACAGATAAGCCAACAGCATTCCCATACACCTATAACAATGCATTGGAAGAAGAAAACTGTTGCATCTACATACCCTCCATATACACACACATAACAAAAAAGATACGGCAGCAATAAATAAAACATTAAAAAGATGTGCAAATCTATAAGAAAAATTATGAAATTCTATTAAAAAGCACTAAAGGAACCTGAATTAAGAGATATTTCATGTTCATGGATGAGAAATCATATTTTTTTAAAATATTTACTTATTTGCAAGCCAGAGATAGAGACATAGATAGAGATTTTTTTTTTTTTTTTTTTTTGAAGGACAGAGTTATGGCAGGGGGTGTGGAGAGGGAGACATAGAGGTATTCCATCTGCTGGTTCACTCCCCAAATGGTTGCAACAGCCAGGGCAAGCCAGGCCAAAGTCAGGAGCAAGGGGCTTCATCCAGGTCTCCAATACAGGTGCAGGGGCCCAAGCACTTGGACCAGCTTCCATTGCTTTCCCAGGCACATTAGCAGGGAGCTGGAATTGGAGTGGAGCAGCCAGGACTTGAACTGGTACCCATATGGAATGCAAATGCTACAGATGGTGACTTAATTTGCTGCAACAGCACTGGCCCCAGAAATCATAATATCTTAACAGTGTCAAGAGATCGTGCAAGTTTTTTTTTTTTTTTTTTAAAGATTTATTTATTTGAAAGTCAGAGTTAATACAGAGAGAAAAGGAGAGGCAGAGAGAGAAAGAGGTCTTCCATCTGCTGGTTCACTTCCCCAATTGGCCACAACGGCCAGAGCTGTGCTGATCCGAAGCTAGGAGCCAGGAGCTACTTCAGGGTCTCCCACAAGGGTGCAGGGCCCCAAATATTTGGGCAATCTTCTACTGCTTTCCCAGGCCACAGCAGAGCTGGATCGCAAGTGGAGTAGGTGGGTCTCAAACCTGCACCCACATGGTATGCCAGCACTGCAGGCAGCAGCTTAACCCCCTACACAACACAGGCCCCGCAAGCTTTTTCTTTTTATGCTCTGTGAATAAGCCTGACACAACCCAGGCACCTCTCTACTACCCCATCTGACAGTCAGCTATTCTGAAAAAGCAGGGCTACCTAGCTGATTGGCAGCTGCATAAGTGAGATTAGCTGAGATAGAAAGAAATGCCCAGCTGATTCCTAACCAATTACTAAATCACAGATTCCTAACCAATTACTAAGCCACTAAGTTTTGGGGTGGTTTGTTCAACAGTGGAAGCCAATCCATGTGAAGGTAAAATCTAAAACTTTATCAGATATGTAAGGTTTCAACCATTCATGTACCCCTTCACAGGAAGTTAGAAAGAACTGTTCATCCTTCGAATGATGTGACTAAAACAAGGAGAAAACAGAGGTTTTTGTCAAAAAGATAGACTTCCTAGAATACAATTACAAATAATACTAGCACAGCCCAGAGGTCTATTTTAGAGCAGAAAGATCAAAAGCTCCAGGATAAATGTCTCAAGGATGAAAAAAAGCAACTCAGAGATTCCTTGAGACATTTACAAATGAAAAAGTCATTGAGCTGGCATTGTGTCCTAGAGGGTTGAACCACTGCCTGCAGTGTCAGCATCCCACAGGGGTGCTAGTTCGAGTCCCAGCTGCTCCACTTTCAACACAGCTCTTTGCTACTGTGCCTGGAAAAGCAGCAGAGGTTGGCCCAAGTGCTTGCACCTCCGAACCCACATGGGAGACATGGAAGAGCTTCTGGCTCCTCGATTTGGCCTGGCCCAGCCCTGGCCATTGCAGCTATCTGGGGAGTGAACCAGCGGATGGAAGACCTCTTTCTCTGTAATTCTGTTTTTCAAATAATTTTTTTTTTTTTAATAAAAGGTCATAAAGGAAGAGTTGAAAGTTGTTTACTATAGGAGTGGGAACAGGGGTGGGAGAGGAGAGGCGGATACTATTCTTTTACATTATGAACTTTATATTATTATTCATATTTTTAAACTTACTACTAGTATTATTTTGCTTAAAAATAAAAATTAAGCATTATTTTTTAACTTTTCCAGAGTTTAAACATTTTCAGGGGCCGGCGCTGTGGCATAGTGGGTAAAACCGCCGCCTGCAGCACCAGCATCCCATATGGGCACTGGTTCAAGTCCCAGCTGCTCCACTTCTGAACCAGCTCTCTGCTATGGCCTGGGAAAGCAGTAGAAGATGGCCCAAGTCCTTGGGCCCCTGCACCCTCATGGGAGACCTGGAAGAAGCTCCTGGCTCCTGGCTCCAGATAGGCACAGCTCCAGCCATTGCGGCCTATTAGGATGTGAACCAGCAGATGGAAGACTTCTCTTTCTCTGCCTCTCTGTAACTGACTTTCAAATAAATAAATAAATCATTTTAAAAAAACATTTTCAAAATATAAAATTAGGAGGAAAGAAAAATAAGCAAGCATCACTGCCTGCACAGAACTATAGGCCGAAAAGAAAAAAAAAGAAAACAGAAGGCTCATTCTCTTGATGCTCTGTGTAACCGTTTGGGCAATCAAGGACATCTGCAGCATAAACAGCTTTCAGACCATACCAACACCCTGGAAAGCGAGCTCCAACTAGTAGTGGTCAACATAACTAAGACAGCTCCTACCGCAGAACTACTGTACATCCCCTCAGAGGTGGCTACCTCATTAAATTCATTCAATCTTATGCTAATTTCCTTACTCAAATAACTTCTCAGAATGAACAACAGCAAAATCAAGAAGTTAGGTGTATTCCAAATAATGAAGAAAGCAAATTTTAGCATGTTTAATAGAGGTGTTGTTTGTGTTTTGTTTTGGACTACTGGTTGACTGTCTTGCAATCATTAAGCAGGATGGAAAGATAAGTTCAAATTTTTAGATACACCTAAGAAGCACTCTACTCAAGAATCAAGCCGGTACCATGCATCACCCAGAGAATGACAAAAACAGCACTACAAGTAGGAGATACTAAGTTCACAAATACTTTATGTGATACATTCTGAATATTTATCACCAGATTGCTGCCTACTTGCCTGTCTAGTAATATACAGGCTAAATACCTACCTATTCTTTACTCTTCCTCATAATTAGCAGATGTAATTATATAGTTCTATACAGTGAGATATATAACAGCAATTTACCAGAAAATTCTAACAAAATTTTTCCCTCAAAGAATAGATATATGTTATCATTCCTTCCTCTCATATTTTCTGCTTTGAACATAGTTATGATACCTGGAGCTATGAGAGCTATCTTGTGATGATAAGTCCAGTGAAGAGAGAATTTCGCAGATGTAAGCCTGACATCAGTGCATCAGTGGACAACAGTCATCAACATTTTAACTTCTTGTTTTATAAAGATGAATGAATGAATGAATGAATGAATGAAAGAGGGAGGGAGGGAGGGAGGGAGGGAGGGAGGGAGGAAGGAAGGAAGGAAGGAAGGAAGGAAGGAAGGAAGGAAGGAAGGAAGGAAAGGAAGGAAAGGAAAGAAAAGAAAGAAAGAAGGAAGGCAAGCAAGCAAGCAAGCAAGCCAGCCCTGTGCTTCAGCCATTATTTTGTTTGTTAGCTACAGACAGAAATATTTCTGCTACAGTTTATAAAAAGTTTGAAGAAAAATTTTAAATGCTTTCCATTTTAAATCAGTTTAATCCCACACTATTTGGAAAATGACATATATAACCATTATCTGAAAGGAAATCACCTTACCTCATTCTTCCATAGGTGATACTGTAGCGCAAATGCAGTGAAGTCTCTTGGAACACAGAAAAACTTGCATTCTGAGGTGGAGCCATGAGAAGTATTTTTGATGTGTTCAAAGTTTTTATTAATCAATTCCAAAATCAAAGGGTCAATAAGAAAAACTGGTACATTTTGGCTGGATGTTAGCATAATAAATTTTTTAACGGCACGCTGTTTGAGAGGCAAAGAATCCTGTTAATTTCACTAAACCAATAAAGCAACTTACTTTGCTTAATTTTTATTCTTTAGTTTTGTAAGAATATATAGTATTTACCCAACAGATACTATGTTTATCATTGCACTAAAACAAACAAATAACATATAAAGTCCCTACTCTCAAGGAGTACACAGTCTTTTAAAGCTATAATTTAAATGTATACAATATACTATCAGTAAGCTATTAAGTAACTGTAAGTCAAATGGATGAGGAAATCTTTATTAAGCAGATAGCATCTGAGATAAAATTTTGGACTTATAAGTTATTCTTTTGGTATTAGCTAAATCTTTTCCAATAAAAGTGAGGGAGAAAATAATCAGATATGCCAGTTTTTAAAAATTGTAAGGCCAGTCTTTCAAAACCAAACATCAATTCCATTTGCCACCTTTCTTCCTATTTGTAATGCTGCCTAATGACCTTTCTAAGCAAGAGAGACCAAAATACACTGCCTGCTTGGTCATTCCCATACACAGCTGATTTTTTTTTTTGACAGGCAGAGTGGATAGTGAGAGAGACAGAGAGAAAGGTCTTCCTTTTGCCGTTGGTTTACCCTCCAATGGCCGCCACGGCTGGCGCGCTGTGGCCAGCGCACCGCGCTGATCCGAAGGCAGGAGCCAGGTACTTATCCTGGTCTCCCATGGGGTGCAGGGCCCAAGCACTTGGGCCATCCTCTACTGCCTTCCTGGGCCACAGCAGAGAGCTGGCCTGGAAGAGGGGCAACCGGGAAAGAATCCGGCGCCCCAACCGGGACTAGAACCTGGGGTGCCGGCGCCGCTAGGTGGAGGATTAGCCTAGTGAGCCGCGGCGCCGGCCACACAGCTGATTTTTTAATAATACAACATTTTAAAATATAATTCTGTTGGGCAGTAAGTATTCTCTCCTCAGAAAACAAATTTCAAAGTTAGATGAAAGTGGCCAGTGTCGCGGCTCACTAGGCTAATCCTCCACCTGTGGCGCCGGTACCCCGGGTTCTAGTCCCAGTTGGGGCGCCGGTTCTGTCCCAGTTGCTCCTCTTCCAGTCCAGCTCTCTGCTGTGGCCCAGGAGCGCAGTGGAGGACGGTCCAAGTGCTTGGGCCCTGCACACGCATAGGGGGTCCAGGAGGAAGCATCTGGCTCCTGGCTTTGGATTGGTGCAGCGCACCAGCCGTAGTGGCCATGTGCAAGGTGAACCAACGGAGGGAAGACCTTTCTCTCTGTCTCTCTCTCTCTCTCACTGTCTAACTCTGCCTGCCAAAAAAATAAAAAAGTTAGATGAAAGCACACAAAAATCACACTTACAACTAGGTGATTCCAAGGAGTAGCAAAAATAAATAAAATAACTGGAATACATTATGGCTTAACAGCCTGCTTTAATGAAGATAATATCGAATTTAAAGGGATTGTATGGGGGCTGGCACTGTGGCACAGTGGGTGAAGCTATGCCTGTAGTGCCGGGATTCCATGTGGGCGCTGGTTCGAGTCCTAGCTGCTCTACTTCTGATCCAGCTTTCTGCTAAGGCCTAGGAAAGCAGTAGAAGATGGCCCAAGTCCTTGGGACCCTGCACCCGCATAGGGGACCCAGAAGAAGCTCCTGGCTCCTGATCAGCCCAGTTCCGGCCATTGCAGCCATCTGGGGAGTGAGCCAATGGATGGAAGACCTCTCTCTCTCTCTCTGGCTCTGGTTTTCTGCCTGTCAAACAAATAAATAAATAAATAAAGGTGATATATTTAAAAATAAATAAATAAATAAAGGAATTGTATGCCCATCAAAAAGGACCTTCATGGAATTAAGAACAAATACTTGTTTACAACATCTGCAGGAACTTATAAAAATACATACAAGATATAAACCAAGATATCTAGAGTCTATATCAGGAAAAAATTAGATTAAGAAATCATCTTTTATCATTTGCTCTTAATGCAGAATTCTGCAAATGCCAAGAATCTAACAATACCTGCCCTACAGTGTTGTCTGTTAGCTGGAGAAACAGCTAAATAAAAAGTTGGTTACAATAAACAACCTTAGACCAAAACAATTCCACAATTTAGATGAAATGGACAAATTTCTTAAAAATACTACTTGAAGCTACAGTAAGATACAACAGGAACTCTGAAATGCCCTATTACCTACTAGGGAAACTGAATTTGTTATTTAAAAAATAAAAACCCTTGGGGTCTGTTATCAGGATATAGTATGTAAAGCTGCCAGCTGTGACCCAGCATCCCTTATGGGTGCCGGTTCATGTTCAGTCTGTTCCACTTCCAATCCAGCTCCTTGCTAATGGCCTGGGAAAAGCAGCACAAGACGGCCCATGTACGTGGGCCTCTGTACCCATGTGGGAGACCCAGAAGAAGCTCTTGGTATTCTGGCCATCTGGTGAGGGATCCAGCAGATGGATGATCTCTCTGTGTGTCTCTTCCTCTCTCTCTGTAACTCTTTCCAAAATAAATAAATAAAAAAACTTAAAATAAAATAAAACTTCCCAAAACAATGACCAAAAACTCTGACAGTTCACCAGTGAATTCTATCAAAGTTTTAAGGAAAAGATGTTTTATGTTTCTACAAAAACCCTTTCAGAAAGCTGAGCAAGAGAGAATACTTGCCAACTGATACTATGAGGCCAGTATAATACTAACAGCAAAACCTGACAAAGACATTACCAAAAAAGAAAATTATAAACCACCATTTCTGATAAATGTACATTCAAAAATACTTAATATTACAAAATCAATTAAAGAAGAAAAATATAAATATTATGAACATGTTGTATTTATCACAAAAATGAAGTTAGCTTAGCATTTTAAAAATCAATGAAATGTACCATATTGATAGAATAAAGCAAAAAAACTATGATAATCTCAATTCAGAAAAATGTTTGACAAAATTTAATACCTATTCATGATTAAAACTCTCAGTAATAAGGCATAAGGAATTTGATAAAGGCCTCAACAACAACAACAACAAAAATCTGTTATTGAATTGTAGGAGTTCTTTATGTAACTTAGATACCAGTCCTTTTTCAGATACCTGTTTTGCAAATATTTTCTAGTTTGCAGTTATCCATCATGGTGTCTTTTGATGAGCAAAAGTTTTAAATAATTACATAGAAGGTACTTTAATATTTGCTGAATGAACCTCATTTTATTATTAAATACAAATTAGATGAACATATTTCTTGTTTCAACACAATTATTAATATAAATAGAGATTAGCACACTCATAATGTTCCTTGGAAACAGATATCCAATTGACTAAGTTCAATAAATTCTAAATCAACGTAACCTTCAATATTATCACCTGGCCTTCAATAACTTGTTTTGTTTACAAAACAAAAAATGTCTTGTTGAAAATTGGATATGCTGAGGCCATAACAGCCCATTCATCTATCTGTGTATTAAAATTTTATTAAAATCTACAAAGGGCTTGTCAGGATTTGTTCTTAGTAAAGGGCTAGTTACTATTTATTATCCTTTTCTAAGTGCTCTCACGTCTTCTACTTAATTACTAATTCTACAATTTCATCAGGGTTCAATATCACACTTATTGATAAGATTTTACCTTTGACTTTTTTTGAAACGATTAGAACAAAAACACCTTAGTACTTTCTCCTTTCCTTTTTATTTTACAAATATTATAGTGTTTTAGTAACTACATTTTTTTTTGTTCAGTATCCTGCAACGTAATTAATTAAGGTAAAAAGAGAAGTCAATGTAGTAAGCTACTCTTTATTTTCCTACTCATTTATCTTGGAAGCCAAACCTTTTTTAAAAAAAAGATCATTCTCCAGTGAAAAAGATGGGAGTCACCCTCCTTTTCTGTTATTTTAAGGCTTAAGCAATACAAAAATTTTTATTTTAAAATGTCAGTGAATTTATACCCCCTTTGATGACTCTACTAAAAGGTATGGAGATGCTGTCAGAAAGTGTTTAGTTAATACAAACAAAGCAAGATCTTCCATTCCACTGAAGCTATTACATCACTTAAATTTGTTTCTGTTTCTGAACTTGTTCTTAACAGTGCACCAAGTATATCATGCTTCCTTTTCCCCTCAGAGTACCCAAAATTCCTAAAGCAAACCATTTGGCATTTTTAATAATTTAATAATTGATATTTCTAAACCAAGTAGCTGAGGAGTCTGATAATAGGATATCCTGGACTTTACTTTTTTTTTTTTTTGACAGGCAGAGTTAGTGAGAGAAAGAGAGAGAGAGAGAGAGAGAGAGAGAGAAAGGTCTTCCTTCCGTTGGTTCACCCCCAAATGACCGCTATGGCCGGCGCACTGTGCCAATCCGAAGCCAGGAGCCAGGTGCTTCCTCCTGGTCTCCCATGCAGGTGCAGGGCCCAAGCACTTGGGCCATCCTCCACTGCACTCCTGGGCCACAGCAGAGAGCTGGACTGGAAGAGGAGCAACTGGTACAGAATCCGTTGCCCCAACCGGCACTAGAACCCGGGGTGCCGGCACCGCAGGCGGAGGATTAGCCTAGTGAGCCGTGGCGCCGGCCTGAACTTTACTTTTTAAACACTTGTCTAAATCCAATTGATGTCAGCAATGACCCCAAATCAAACTATTTGGTTATTGGAAAATTCACTTCTAATCTAAAGCCTTCCATGTCTCTGGTTACACAGAGCCAAGATTTAAGTATATCTACAAGAAATATCTAGTCATTTCTATAATGGATACTAACAGGATGAATATAATTTTTAATTAGTAACCCAGCATTGTTTTTCATTCTAAATTTAGTAAGAAAAATATATTTTACAAATGTGCAGGCTTTCAAATTTACAAAATACGAATATATTACATACATTGCTAATTTCCTTCATCTTAAAAAGGAAACAGGTTGATCAGATTTTTTATTCCTGATCATTAATTTCTCCTCATTCATAGTTCAGTTTTGCTTCACATACCATTCATTTGGGGAACCACCACAGTTCAGTAAATGATATGGACTCAGGAATTTATAAGCCAAATAACCTTAATCTCTCCAAATGAATTCAGAGTAACAATATGTATTGCCTTCCAAGTGTCTACAGGGACTATAGGAGACACTACATGAAAAGCACTTCATAGGACTGGCATTTGGCCTAGAGTTTAAGGCACCAGTTAATATGCTCCCTTCTGCCTTAACCCCCTAATCCTTGTGGGCATCCTCTCTCTAAAAATATCACAAATAAAATAAACAAATAAAAATACTTGGCATAGAGCCTTCCCCTTTCCTGCCACTACCAAACTCCCCTCCCCACCCCAAGGGTAAACACTGCCATTCTCATCCTTCAGCAACTCTTTATGGAGTGTAAACAAATGAACTAAATAAACATTGTAATTAAAGAATTTCTTGTTTATTGTACATACCCATTGTGAGCTATCAAATCCAATTCTGCTTCCTTTGGATTTTGATAAAGCAGCTCCATTCTAGGAAGATAAAAAATTATTTTAGTAAATACAGAGCTCAGCATGAAATATTACATTTAGGGTAAGAATGAGGGTCAAACTGCATAATTAGTAGTGTTTCATTACTGATGTTAGTATTACAAGTCAAAAGCTGGTTACATTTTAAAATATTAATTCTTTAGACAAGTAATGCTGAAGTGTAGTAAGCCCTGTACACAGTTAGTCTGGTCCTTAAGGAGCAGGAGAGAGAAAAATGTATTTAAGACCACAGTTCATATTACAAGGAGGACAGCTTGTAATATGCTCCTTGGCTTAAAGGTAAATTGTCATTCCAATGTCTTGGATTAACCATAGAGTTGTACAGACAGCCCAACATTTTTTTAAAAACACTACTGCTAATTAATCATTACTTTCAAATAGTGGCTTTTCCACATTTAAATTTATTAAAATTCCTCTGCTTAACAACATAAGCAATTTGGCATCATTTTCAAAAGTCATTTAGAAAATAACATGAAAAATTATAAAATAACAATAAAATATCTTAATCTCTTAAAAAAACTGCATAGTTAGCTCATATAATTTAAAACCATTATCCAAATACATATTTCCATAAAATAAAAAGCTAATAATTCAACAATTTTATAATATAATAACTCAAGATGGAAAGCACTGACAGGCTATACTAAGTTAATCAGATCATTAAATAGTACATATATGGGTCAGTGCCGCGACCCACTTGGCTAATCCTCCGCCTGTGGCGCTGGCACCCCAGGTTCTAGTCCCGGTTGGGGCACCAGATTCTGTACCGGTTGCTCCTCTTCCAGTCCAGCTCTCTGCTGTAGCCCAGGAGTACAGTGGAGGATGGCCCCAGTCCTTGGGCCCTGCACCTGCATGGGAAACCAGGAGGAAGCACCTGGCTCCTGGCTTCGGATCAGTGCACTGCGGCTGGAGCGCACCGACTGTAGCGGTCATTTGGGGGGTGAATCAACAGAAGGAAGACCTTTCTCTCTATCTTTCTCTCTCACTGTCTACTCTGCTTGTCAAAAAAAAAAAAAAAAAAAAAAAAAAAAGCACATATATGGCCACCATCTCTGAGCCAATTAATTTCCATCAGTGAATAGCAAACTCTGCCATTTCTTTGAATTAGGGTTTATCCATTTAGTTCTAAATTCCTAACCTCAACATATCCATATACACTGAATTAGCATTTTAGATCTTGGCAAAAAAATAAGAAAATGCAACATTTATTAAACAGTTCCTAAGTGTCAGGTACAGTTTGACATGTTATTATTTCTGTTTTACTGACAGCTCCAGTGCCCCTACTTTTCCTAAGATACACCGTAATTTCAAATGATGAGTCATTTTCTTTTTTTTCTTTTTGAAAGGCAGAGTGGACAGTGAGAGAGACAGAGACAGAGAGAAAGGTCTTCCTTTTTGCCGTTGGTTCACCCTCCAATGGCTGCTGCGGCTGGCACAGCATGCTGATCTGAAGCCAGGAGCCAGGTGCTTCTCCTGGTCTCCATGCGGGTGCAGGGCCCAAGGACCTGGGCCATCCTCCACTGCACTCCATGATGAGTCATTTTCTTAAACTGTTTTTTAAAATATTAAGTTCTAGAGAATCAGAAAGAATAAAAATACCAGTGTTCATTGTTAAGCCCAAAAATATTTTGAAAGGAACAGGAGAAAATGTGTCTAATGGTCTAGAGATAAGAGGAAGATTGTTTCAAACTCAAAAAAGATCTAAAGATATTCTTATTCCTTCAAAGCATTCTTTAGCTACAGACTATAGCTGGGAGTATGTGGAAGAATAATTAGAGTAGTACTGAACTGTCCTCCAACTTCCTAAAAAGGAAATTCACCTTCCAACTAAAAAGTATACTCAAAGGCAGGGATAAAATCCAATCCATCTTTTAACACCAGGATCTACCATAGGGCTTGGCAATTAGTAAATACTTAATAAGGGTTTGTTGGAGGGAGAAAGAATGGGAGAGAGTTGAATATACTGAGCAATTAAGGTACAGTCAGAATTGGTCTTTTCTCACAAGCGCTGTGTAACTTAGCCAACAATGTTTTAGTAGAAACGATATTTAAGAAAAAGAGTCAGCTCTGTAATCTCCAATTTTGAAAACAGACTGTATACTCTACTGTATAGCTGCTTGTTCGCAATAGCCCCACATTGGTATGTAAGAATGAATTTTTGAACTGTTTAATTTGCTGAGTTTGGGACAAGTAAAATTCTAGTGAACTAGCAGATGATTTTTATACCTTCACTGAGATATATTTAACATACCATAAAAGTCACCCTTCTAAAGTGTACAATTCAATGATTTGTGGTATACTGACAGAGTTGTACAACTACCACCATTATGTAAATCCAGAATAATTTCTTCCTCCCCAAAACAAACCATGTTCCTATTGCAGTCACTTCTGATTCTTTGTCCTCTGTGCTCCAATTATAACACTAATATAATTTTTCCCCTACGGACTAGCCTATTAGATACTATGTAAAAATAGAATCATAAAATGTGGCCCTTTGCATCTGGTTTCTTTCACTTAGCATAATGCTGTCAAGGTTCATCCATAATGCAGATCATGTATCAGTACTTAATTTCTTTTTATGGCTAAGAAATAATGTCTTTACATTCATTCGGTGGACAAACACTTGGTCTATTTCACTTTATGGCTGCTATAATGCCATCACAAATACTCGGGTTTTATTATAATCACTTCCTTGGTACAATCACAACCTGCCTCTAACTCACTTCATTTGATTTGTTCAGCAAAAATCCAAGTGTCCACTAATTCTGCAACTGCAACTGTGCAGCTGACCACAGCTGCTGATTGGTGCCTCTTTAAATTCATGATCATTTGTCTCAAGTAGGGCCTAAATTTGGTCCAGCAATCATCTTACTTTTCCTTTGCTTATTAACTCTCTCTCTGTCCTAGATGACTTTTCTATTCCTTTCTCTTTCTGACACTTCCTCCCTACCTACCTTTCTTGAAAAAATAAATTACTGAAGAACTTGACAAAAACTACCACATCTTTCCATCTATGATAATTAAGCCATATCACCTGCCATTCCACCCTTCGTAAGAGAAGAACTGCCTACATTCCTATTTAGAGCCAATTTTTCCACTCATTACACCAAATCCTATCACCTCTTGAATGGTCAAAGACATTGCTCCAGCAGTTTTTCTTTCTCTTTTGGTCATCTCCATCAGGATACAAACATTTTATTCCTTATCCTATCTTTTTTTTTTTTTTTTTTTTGACAGGCAGAGTGGACAGTGAGAGAGAGAGACAGAGAGAAAGGTCTTCCTTTGCCGTTGGTTCACCCTCCAATGGCCGGCGCGGCCGGCGCGCTGCAGCCGGCGCACTGCGCTGATCCGATAGCAGGAGCCAGGTACTTATCCTGGTCTCCCATGGGGTGCAGGGCCCAAGGACTTGGGCCATCCTCCACTGCACTCCCGGGCCACCTCAGAGAGCTGGCCTGGAAGAGGGGCAACCAGGACAGAATCCGGTGCCCCAATCGGGACTAGAACCCGGTGTGCTGGCGCCGCAAGGTGGAGGATTAGCCTAGTGAGCCGCGGCGCCGGCTCCTTATCCTATCTTAAAGCAAAAGAAAACCCTCCCAACTTCTGTTACCAGCCCAAATTTGTGCCATTTACAGTAAAATTCCAAATGGGTTTTCTGTTGTCATTGCCTACAACTCTTCTCCCCCCATGAATGCAACTGAGCTTAAAGACACTCTCTCACACATTCACCAAGATCATCAATGACTTCCAAATTGTTAAATCCACTGTCACTTATTAGTTCTGTATTTGATCTATTAAGAATTGTTGACAACCTTTGACTCCCTGAAATACTGGATTCAAAGGATCCCCATAGTTTTGGTTTTCTTGCTATTTCTGCCTGTCTATTCTTTCTTAGACTCACTTGTTGGTTCTTCCCACCACTAAGCTCAGATTTTAGGACTTCCTGCCTCTACTCTATATTCACTCCCTTGGTATTTCATTTATTAGTCTTATGACTTTCAATACCATCTCTCTGCTTAAAATCCCCAATTCATATTCCCAACCCATGTCACCCCTTTGAACTCCACTTACATATCCAATTGTCTATTTGTCTTCTTCACATGGGTATCCAGAGGGCTTCTCAAACTTAACATGCATCAAAAAACTGGTCTTCAATATCTTTCAAACTTGATTTTCCCAGTCTTTCTTATATCAGCAACTTCTCCCTTTCAATGAGGAAGGCCAGAAATACTATCCTGACCCTATATTTTCTCTCTCTCATATCTCACACCTAATCCATCAAGAAAAACTGACAGCTCTATTTCACATTTTTTACTGATTCCATCACCAATTCCTTGGTCCAAGCCATTATCATCTTTTATGTAAATTACTAGAATAACTTCTAACTGGTCTGTTTCAGTACTTGCCCCCACAATCTATTATCTATCCTTAACAGAGCATTCAGACTACTAGTTTTAAAAGAAAAGTCAGGCTATGTTATATATCAACTCAAAACTTTCCTATGGTTCCCAGTCTCACTCAGAATAAAAGCAGTCTTTATAAGGGTTTTCAAGGCCCTCAACAATATGGAACACTTTGGCCTTATTCTCCCTGTCTCTCACTCCTTCTACAGACAAATTGTTTTTTGATGTTTTCAATACTGCTCAGTACATTTCTGCCTCAAGACATTTGTACTTCTTTTGGTTTCTATTGTACTATTCTTTTCTTCTAGACATCCAAAATGGCTCATCTTTCTTTGAATAGGCCATTTCTTCTATTTGTAATAGATTTCTCATCTTTCCAGTTTACCTGGAAAACTCCTACTCATCCTATCAGAGCAACTCAAAATATTCTAGCTCTGAAATATTTAACAATAATATTCTTAAATATATTATCTGGCAGTATGTATTTCCTGAAAATTTTGCACCTATATAAGCTTGAAGGGTCAGGGGAAGAGACATTGGAGGATAAAGTTTTATAGGGCCTGAAGATTATACAATATTGGC